TTGCTGCTTTTAAAAAAAAAAAAAGTACCCCCCCCCCCCCACTATACAATAAATTGTTAAAATCTTTTTCACTGTGTAATAATTTCGAAGTCAAGGTTGAATGATCTCGATTCCACCCAGCAGTAACAACTGTTTATTATTATTATTATTATTATTATTATTATTATTATTATTATTATTGTTATTGTTATTATTCAAAATTTCTGAGGTTGGATTGTGTTATAAAAAAAAAACTGAAACTTGATCATAAGAGATTACTGCATCATAAAATTTGAGTTTTTGTTTACTGGTTAGTTCTGTTGATTAGACAGTTAACATGTTTGGTGCTCGGACAAAAAAAAAACGTGCGAATTTGTTCGGTGATATGATGTTTTTATGAACACTTTACATATTGGTTGTGGGTTAATTAGTCGAAGAATATTGTGACTTTGAAAATCAAATCAATTAAAAAATCATATTCCTAATCATCTTCATTTTAATTTTTATCGTATATATTCATGCGTTCCATTCGCATCAGAGGCATTCTCTCTTTATTCCCACCCCAAATAAATTTCATTGACGTTCGAAAAACGCTATAATTCTTTTTCATCTAGTAAAATCTTAAAGTTTACCACATTCATGGATGATTGAAATGCAACGCGGTGAAATTCCGTCGTTGAATGTAAGAGCATTCAAACAGAATAAATACGACATAGGTTAAATTAAAAAAATATATGTTTATATAATTTTTAAAATAACGAAATGAAATTAAATGGGTATAAATACACTTGAGTAGATATTAAGAAATCCCCCCATTAAATTTATTTTCGAATGGAATCTGGTGGGTTTTTGCCTTTTTCAAATGGGCAAAACCCCTAAAAAACCTCGAACTTGCAAAAAAGTATACAAATAAACCATCAACTTGAAAACCTGTCATTTAAACCCTGAACTTGACATATGTAACTGATTAAAACCTTGAATTTGCAAATTGTTGCTGTATTAACCCCTTGACCGGTTTGACCGAAAATTTAGATCACCGGAAATCCACCTAGGACCGAAAATCAGATATCATCTTGTCCACGTAAGCAATTTCTCTCCTGTTTTGCCACATCAGCATATTTTAGTTCAATTAAACATAACCGGTTCAAATTTCGATGCGGTTTACACTACACTTTCCAAACCGGTTCCATCATGATCGCCCTCGGCCAAACCACCACTGTCCTCCTCCGCACCCTCCATTTCTCCCTTCCGATCGAAATTCCCGAACCCAGATCCCACATCGAAGAAATTGTGCCCGTGGACGTGAATCGGATGATTCTCCGCGTTCAGAAAGCTCGTCCCTTGAAATACAATCTCCAATCTCGCCCCGAATTCGATTTCGAACAGCTTCGTTCCGAACTCTGTGTTCATGTTCTCCGACAGGAGATTAACCCCAGTTTAATCGAATCTCTTCCTGGGTTTATCGGGGAAATCTAGGTCGAACACCTCCTTTGTCCGATTCTTATAGTAGCTCTCCAGGATCGAGACCAGTGGTCGAACGAACGAGATGTTGTTCATAGATGCGAAGAATCTTTTATCCGCGTATCCTTCGCAGGTTCGATTCGCCGGACAATCCTGTAGATTCAGACTGATCATGGTGATCACTCGCTTGTCGATCTCCGACGGAACCCGACACGGGTACTCCTCCGTCGCCAGGCTCCTGACGCTGTCGGAAAATCTCATCACGAACTCCGTGTCTAGCATCCCGGGAAGCGACGAAGGCATGCGCACCTCGGCGGCGCTTGAGGGGATAGGCAATGAGGGTTTGCCCGTGTAGCGCAGGAAGCCGAGGGCGGTGGAGTTGTTGAAGGGGAAGACGAAGGTGATGTAGGGAGCGACGACGAAGGGGAAGGAGTCGCCGGAGAAATGGAGGGTGCGGAGGAGGACAGTGGTGGTTTGGCCGAGGGCGATCATGATGGAACCGGTTTGGAAAGTGTAGTGTAAACCGCATCGAAATTTGAACCGGTTATGTTTAATTGAACTAAAATATGCTGATGTGGTAAAACAGGAGAGAAATTGCTTACGTGGACAAGATGATATCTGATTTTCAGTCCTAGGTGGATTTCCGGTGACCTAAATTTTTGGTCAAACCGGTCAAGGGGTTAATACAGCAACAATTTGCAAGTTCAAGGTTTTAATCAGTTACATATATCAAGTTCAGGGTTTAAATGACAGGTTTTCAAGTTGATGGTTTATTTGTATACTTTTTTGCAAGTTCGAGGTTTTTTAGGGGTTTTGCCCTTTTCAATATTATTCCTTTTTTTTTTTTTTTCATGCAGAGGACTTTTTCCATACGAGGATTTTTCAGTGTCACAGCAAGAGGTAATAACATCTCTCTCCCTCTTCATGGAATGTAGGATATTTAGGTAAAACTTGTGTTAGAGAAGCAATATATATATATATATATATTATTTTGTTAATAATTTCTTTATGTTAAAATAAGTGTTAACAATATGAGCCCAAATATGCTAATATTTCAATATGTGTGAACTAATCTTTATCGCGAATGTATAAGCTGGAGTTTCCTTTTTTCCCCACGAAATAATGATTCTTTCTGGTTAAGCTAAATATTTAACAATTTTTATCCCAAATATGTAAAATAATCCTTATCGCGAAAGTATAAGGTGGCGCTTCTATTTTTTTTCCAAAGATTATTATTCTTTCCGTTGAGATAAGTATTATTAATTTGAGCCCAAATATGTTAATATTTCAGCATATGTGAATTAATCCTTATCGGGAAAGCATAAGGTGGTGCCTCCATTTTTTTTCCCCAGAGAAGCATAGCATAAGATAAGATAAATTCTTGAATATATATATATATATATATATATATATATATATGCATCATGCATGGACACGATGCAAATTATCATGACCATGACCATGCAACAAAAGCCTTGGAATTTTATACTGGCAAATAAAAAAAATACACACCAACTGCACTTGTGAAAATTAGACTTTTTAATACAAAGTCTTTAATTATTTGTCCCATATATAGTCACGCACGCATATAGTTTCCAAGAAACTCAAATTTCTTTTTTTTGGCTTATCAAGCAAGTTACTACAATGTCTTGTCTGGATATCAATTTTGGTCATATTTTATTCAGTCAACGGTCTCTTCTATATACACAAAACATAAATTTTTCTGTTGTGAAAAAAAATCAGAATCTTTTTTTTTTTTCTCGTGCAGAGAAAATATTGATCTAATCAAATTTTACGCGGAAACATAGTCCCAGTCCCACCTCCCCCCAAACCAAATCCAGATCTTTATATAAACCCCAATCTCTCTCTCTCTCTCTCTCTCTCCACTTCTTCATCACCACCATTTCAAACACACTCCAAAGTGCAGAGAGAGAGAGAGAGAGCAACAATGATGTACTTTGTGATTGTTTTCCCTCTTGTATTGCTTCTTCTGGCTTACAAGCTCATATTCGCACCCAAAACGCAGCGTTTCAATCTTCCTCCGGGGCCGGCGTCTCTCCCCGTCGTGGGTCACCTCCACCTCCTGAAACCGCCTATTCACCGTCTCTTCCTCCGGTTCGCCGAAAAGCACGGACCCATCTTCTCCCTCCGCTTCGGGTCACGCCGCGTCGTGGTCCTCTCCTCCTTGCCGCTGGTCCGTGAATGCTTCACGAGCAAGAATGACATCGTTATGACCAACCGTCCACATTTCCTGACCCCCAAGTACGTGGCCTACAACTACACCACCGTCGGAACCGCCCCTTACGGCGACCACTGGCGCAACCTCCGCCGTATCTGCGCCCTCGAGATCCTCTCCACTCACCGTCTCACCAACTTCCTCCCCGTCCGTAAAGACGAGATTTTGCGGATGCTCACGCGCCTCGCACGCGACAACCACACCAACGGCGTTGGAGGGTTCGCCCTGGTCGAGCTCGAGCCGCTCCTGTCCGATCTGACGTTCAACAACATCGTGAGGATGGTGACCGGGAAGAGATACTACGGGGACGAGATCCACAACGAGGAAGAGGCGAATATGTTCAAGAAACTGGTCACTGCGGTCAACGACAACAGCGGCGCGAGCCACCCGGCTGATTACTTGCCCTTCTTGAAGGTGTTTGGGCTCAAGTACGAGAAGAAAGTGAAAGCCATCGGCGAAGCCATGGACGAGTTCTTGCAGCGTCTGCTCGACGAGTGCCGCAGAGACAAGGGCGGAAACACCATGGTCAATCACTTGCTCTCGTTGCAAGAACAGCAACCAGATTATTACACAGACGTCACCATCAAAGGCCTCATGCTGGTAATTAACCACACATGAACACGAATCTAAGATTTTTCCGATTCATTGCGCTCAAAATCTCAAATGCAGGGAATGATGGTGGCGGGAACCGACACATCAGCCGTGACACTAGAATGGGCAATGTCCAATCTGCTGAAAAACCCAGAGGCACTGAACAAGGCAAGATCAGAAATCGACGAGAAGATCGGACAAGATCGTCTGATTGACGAACCAGACATCGCCGAACTCCCCTACCTCCAAAACATCGTGTCAGAGACATTCCGGTTGTACCCAGCAGCGCCGCTCCTGGTCCCTCGCTCGCCGTCGGAGGACATGAAGATCGGAGGGTACGACGTGCCAAAGGACACGATCGTGCTGGTGAACGCGTGGGCCATCCACAGGGACCCGGATCTGTGGAGCGACCCGGAGAAGTTCGAGCCGGAACGGTTCGGGAGCCGGTGCGGCGGAGAAGAAGCGGAGGTGCGTCAGCTGATGCCGTTTGGGAATGGACGGAGAACGTGTCCGGGAGCTGGACTGGGACAGAGGATAGTGACGTTGGCATTGGGATCGCTGATTCAGTGCTTCGATTGGGAGAAAGTGAAGGGGGAAGCCATTGACATGGCGGAGACGCCGGGCATGGCAATGAGGAAGGCGGTACCATTACGGGCCTTATACAGGCCTCGGCCCATTATGGACAAACTCAGTGGCTTGGCCCTTTAAAAAAAATATTGTTTCGGTATTTTTGTTGTAAACTTTGAAAATCTTTATATCCAATGAATGAAATACTTCGCTATTTGCAGGTTTAGTTTTTTTTTTTTGAAAAAAAAACCATCTCTCTTATTGTGTTGTGCGTGGCGTTGCTCTGTTATGGAATATATATATATATATAAGTGTGCATTATTTATTTCATGATATTAAAGGGATGGAGCCAATAAGTAAATGGGCATATGTATCTTAGGGACTGACATCCAATTTCATAATCCGAAGTTGCCGTAAATTTTTTGGGAAGATCATCCGGAGCTCGGAACAACTCCATTTCTTGCTTCCAAATATTTCTGCAATTATTAAAATAATTATTTTCACCATATAATAAATCATTATATTTATTATATTATATATACGTACGTATATGCTTAATGTTCTATATATAGAGAGAGACCTATATAATAGTGGAATTAATTTGGAAACATAAAATTGTAGTTGTACCTTCTGAGAAAGTACTTGCCTCAACGTCTCCTCTAGGATTCTCTCATGAAGCTCTATTTCATTCGTTGATTTCATGTGATTTGGACTTTTTCGGAAATACCTTAAACGAAGGAATTCAAGCTATATATATACATATATATATACACGCATTATGTGTATAAAAGCATGCATATAAAAGATATGTATATATATTTCGTACTGTAACTGTTCTTCCACTTCTTCTAATTGGAGATTACATCTTTTGGTTTCTTCTTTGATCATCTGTCCATTCAAATATCACACTCCAACATAATCCAAAAAAAAAAAATTCAGGTCATTGATACAAATCTTAGATTAGTAAAAGCCACGTGTCTCGGATCGAGCTTGGTTCTGAATGCCCAAGTCATATTACATCCGTCGTCAGACACACTAAAACACAAAAAAATCATTAACACGCCATCTTAAAATAAATAGAACTATATATTAAAATTGGATCACCCTTAGAAACCGTAATCTAATAACTGTTAGTGATCGTAATCTTCTGTATTAGGAAAGTGCCATACATATAGCATATATTGTTACGTAAATCTCTCCATTAGTTATTCTCTATGTATCTATATAAGTGTACAATCAGTGGATAATAAAGTGTGCGATTTCATTCTCTCCTTCATGGTATCAAGAGCCCTAGTCTGAAGACAAAGAAAAACCCTAGCCGTTTTTTTTTTCGATTCAACTCTTCTTCACACAGACGAGGTCTGATCCAGACACTCAACCATACACAAGCTCTCTCTCATGGCGACCAATACCAACACCAATGCTCCTGACACTGCCGCTACGATCTTCGATGTCCGTGAGCCAACCAAAACCCTACTTACCGTCAACATGACGAATATAACGAAACTGATTTCGACCAACTACATCACCTGGAGCCTACAGATCCGTGCTCTCCTTGAAGGCCACAAATTAGATTGCTTCATCACGGACGACACCACCGTCCCTCCGGCTAAGATCGACAATGCCGGAACGCTTGTAGACAACCCAGCCTTCGCCGACTTCAAACAGCAAGACCGTCTCTTGTTCAGTGCCATCCTAGGCACAATATCTTTGAATCTGCAACCCGTCATTGCTCGAGCACCCTCAACTCGTGAAGCGTGGAAGACCATTGCCAATATTTATGGCAAAGCATCAAGGGGACATCTCCTTCAACTTCGTGAGCAAATCAAGCAATGTGTGAAAGGCACACAATCGATGGACGAGTATATTCGCTTCGTTACCACCAAGGCGGACGAATTGGCTATTCTCGGCAAGCCACTCGATCATGAAGACGTCCTTGACGCCATTATCAATGGCCTATCCGAAGACTACAAGCCTGTCATCGATGTGATCCAAGCCAAAGATATCGCGATTTCCGTTGAAGAGTTTCATGAGAAACTTCTTCAACATGAGGCCAAACTTGCTGTGAATCAAAACCACCAGATGTCACCCTTCCCCGTCACAGCTAATGTTGCACATTCGAGAGGCCGAAACTCCTACCGTGGCCAAGGACACTCTCGAGGACAGCCATGGAATCGATCGGGACAACCTTCTCCGCGAGGCTACCAAGGCAAGTGTCAAGCATGTGGTGTTGGGTTCCCTTCGGGTTCCTAGCATGGGATCTCATCGATCTAGGGTTTGGATTCTAGGTTTCACGCAGCGGAAGGAAAGATCTAAACCTAGCCAAACGTCACACAAAACCAATTGTGCAATAACCCGAACAATCGTGTATATCGTCGTGGGATTCGAATACTTACCTCGTTCTTTCAAGATCTGGAAATATCAATCGATCCAGGGCCTGTTTTAATCACCAAGAGTTGAAAGTACAACCCCTCTACACGTATCCACACCGACGGGATGAATTCCAACAGTTTGGAACGTATCTGCTAGGATTTATGAAGAGAAAACGATGTCCTAGACTTGGAATCGATATTCCAATCACTAGAACTCAAGAGAAAGCTTCTTCAAAGCTCTAGAAAGTGTCTAGGACGTCTGAGAGTTCTATCTAGGGTTTGTGGCGGCTCTATCACTTAATTAGAATTCCCAAAACCCTAAAACGCGAGAAACTGATAACTGTCACGTAAGTCGGACCGTCCGTTCCATACCTGGAACGGACGTTCTGACTTTCTACGTAGAACGGACGTTCCGTAATTCAACGCAGAACGGACGGTCTGGCCCTCTGGAACCCTTCCAGTTTGTTCCGTGGTTCCTTTCTCGCGTCGCTCTCTTCACGTGTGATCCATCCCTAATGGTGTGTGACCCTGTAGGCCCATTCGAAGTGGTAGTGGCTTCGGAAACCCTTTCCCGAACCACAAGTCATGGTTAGCCTCTAGCAAGACGCCATGACCACCCACCTAGAATAGAGTTAGAGGTGATCTAACAAAGCCAGCAATAGTTCGAGTTCTGATCCTTTGTCTCACGATGTCGTATATTGAACAAGGGCATGGTATGAGTCACCCTTCAAGTTCAACCGCTTACTCGTCTAGGCAAACCGACTGATAAAATAGATGTACATTCATCTATAGCGTGGCCACGCATTTTCACAGTCCGATTTCCACGAGGGGCCCAGCGACATCTCTCCTGCGTAGGAGGTGACAAGTCCCGTATTGCATGTCTACTATCTGCATATGATTCGTGAACGTATCTGAGCAACGCCGTTATGATCATCCGGTTAAAGACGACGTTTGACGCAGTCAAGACACGTCACTCCTCATATCAGATACTCTAGACATCTCAGCACGCTCAGCTAGGGCATGACCCGTAACCATGACGATCGAGGCCTTGACAGTTGCTCTACTAATGGGCGGTAATAGATTGAGATTTCATGAGGAAGAAGACAAAATTTCGGACTTGAGAAGTGTCTGAGGTCCAGTCCAGAGCTGACCAGAATCTGGTCCGCCGGACTGACCTTGGTCAGCTTCTCTGGTCCGCCGAATTGTCCATTTTGAGAAAAATCTGAGCTTGGTCCGGGGCTGACCAACTTTTGGTCAGCTCCGGACCAACTCAGTCTTCTCCTACTCCTCCGAACTGACCAGGAATCGGACTCAGTTCGAAAACTGAGCTTGTCCGGGGCTGACCAAACTTGGTCAGCTCCGGACCGAGTCAGTCCGTTCCCTGTCTGCTCCGAGCTGACCAGAGGAAGCGGAGCGCAGATCAACTGGGCTTGGTCCGCACAATGATAACTGACCAGGGAATTTAGAATCATCTGCAATGATTCAAGGATATTTACCGTAATATAACAAACATGCTAATCATATAACGGGAAAAGTAATGCATTCATAAACCAATGAATCAATACATAGTCAAAATGTCATATCACGGATCATCGTAGAGCATTACAACCAACAATCTCCCACTATGCTCTATGATCTATCCTACAAGCATCTAATCCCCATACCCACAACATGACCATCATGCTTTGACGAAGGGAGAGGTTTCGTCAGCGGGTCGGCAATATTATTATCTGTCGACACTCTACTTATCTTCACGTCTCATCTGTCGATGATTTCCCTAATCAAATGAAATCGCCTGAGTATGTGTTTGGATCTCTGGTGTGACCGGGGTTCCTTTGCTTGTGCGATCGCACCATTGTTGTCACAGTACAACTCAATGGGATCTGCAACGCTAGGAATGACCCCCAGGTCTCCCACAAATTTCCTGATCCAAACAGCTTCTTTAGCTGCATCCGATGCTGCTATGTACTCGGCTTCTGTAGTCGAATCTGCCACGGTTGGCTGTTTGGAACTCTTCCAACTGATAGCCCCACCGTTCAGGCAGAAAACATAACCTGACTGCGATCTGAAGTCATCTCTGTCGGTTTGGAAACTAGCATCGGTATAACCCTTTATAGCGAGCTCGTCTTCCAATCCGCCATACACCAAGAACAAATCCTTAGTCCTTCTCAAGTACTTAAGGATGTTCTTGACCGCAATCCAGTGAGCCTCACCTGGTGTAGACTGATATCTACTAGTCATGCTTAATGCATATGATACATCTGGGCGAGTACACAACATGGCGTACATGATGGCTCCAATTGCCGAGGCATATGGAATCCTATTCATGCGCTCTTGCTCATCCTGTGTCTTTGGACACTGAGTCTTGCTAAGAGCAACGTCATGTCCCATTGGCAAGGCACCCCTCTTGGAGTCTTGCATCTTGAATTGATTCAAGACCTTGTCAATGTATGTACTTTGACTTAGACCAAGAAGCCTTCTCGATCTATTTCTATAGATCTTGATTCCTAGAATATAGGTAGCTTCTCCTTAGTCCTTCATCGAAAAGACCGATCCTAGCCATGATTTTACTCCTTGCAAGGTAGGAATGTCATTTCCGATGAGCAATATATCATCCACATAAAGTACAAGGAAGACCACTGCGCTCCCACTGACCTTCTTGTAAACGCAAGGCTTATCTTCGTTTTGCAAGAAGCCAAACGTTTTGACTGCCTCGTCAAATCGAAGATTCCAGTTCCTCGAAGCCTGCTTCAATCCATAAATGGATCTCTGAAGCTTGCACACCTTCCTCGGACTCTTAGGATCAACAAAACCCTCGGGTTGTGTCATGTACACATCCTCGAGCAAATTCCCG